TCCTCTTTTAAACACAAGCCTCAGTCACCATAGCCGTTTTTCTTTCCTTGTTGATCAGCTTATCCTTGTACATCCTCCTGTATAGAGATGATGGGTAAAAACTTAAGGTTCCTGGCAGGGATCCAAATGGGGGCTCTCTCCCCTATGGGAAAAACACATCCAAATCCTCTGCCCATGGTAACTAGGGGGTCAGGTCCTCTCCATTGTTGTGTCAGGGGGTCCTTCCACCTGACTTTCACTTGGGGCTTAGGGTTTAGTTGTCCCCAGTTCTTCTGAAATCTGGATTCAGTTGCCCCTTTTGAAAAATTTAAAATGTTAATTGTAAACAAAGCTATCTGTAACTGTATATGGCGGCTAACTCAACCCTTTTTTGTTTTATAGGTTATCATAATACAAATTAAACGGTTTTTGAATGTCCTGAAGGGCCATAGTTATGGCCAGCTTTTCTTTCATATTGTGCTGACCCTTGACAAGGTTGAAATCTTTGTTGGCTTCGGGTCTTTTGTTTCTCCTCAAAGGCTGCATACACAGAGCCTTTACCTTCGTCAGTAGAAACATGGAGAGGGCCAGGAATAGTCGTAGGAGAAAACAGAGATAGCATTTTGAGGGGAAGTCACCATAACATGACAGTCCATTTGGATGACACATAATGGCAGTCAATTTGGCCTAGAAACCTCTCCAAAGAGAAAGGAAGATGAGCATTGGCTAGAGTGAGCCACTCAACGTCTGCCTTCCAAACATGAAAAACAATGAAGTGAGGATCAAGGCCATAATGCCCTTGGGCTTGGGTCCTTCCCTTGAGGATAGCATCTGCAAGTTGGTTTGCCTGAGAGTACACCCAAGGTGTGCCCCCCATTGGAGTGTGAACCCACTCTAATGGCTCCCCCCCTTGAGTTAAAATTGCAGGTATTACTGTGACACCTGCAAACAATCAAAGGGAAATGGGCTTAAAAATAGAATACCTCTTTAGGGAAACTTCATCCAGGGCTTTTTGGAACTGAAAAAATATTACCCGATGGCTGTCTGTAATTGTAATAAATTCTTGGGGTATCCTGTCTTTTAGTATGGTGAATAAGGACACAAAACTATCTTTAGGGACAAAAACCCATGGCAACAGCCAATTGATTTCCCCTAAAAGACTCTGAAGTTAGGTTAAGGTCAGAGAGCCTGGAAATCCAGCAAAGGCTTAAGGGGGCTGGCCTGAGTAAAGGTAAGGTGGGTTCTGAGCACCTTAAAAGGAGGTACCTTTTGAGCTTTATTGAGGGCTATGGTAAAACCCCCCTTTTAAATATGGCACAAACCTGGACCAGAAGACTCTCCAGGCGGCTCCGGTCTTGGTGCCCCAGAATTATATCATCCATGTAGGCATAGGCAAGGGAGGTATCTGAACCCAGCACAGGCCCTAAAAGTGTGGCCAAGTATTGTTGGCAAAAGGCCTGGCTATTGGCCATTCCCTGTTGCAACACGGTCCATTAAAACCTCCGATCAGACTGGGAAAAATTAAGAGAAGGGATGGAGAAAGCAAACTTCTCGCAGTCATCTGGATGCAGGGGGATAGAAAAAAAAATCTTTAATATCAATCACAACTAAGGTATATTCTGAAGGTATAGCAGGAGTCCAGGTCATGCCTCTTAGGGGCGTTCCTACTAGCTCCATCCTTTCATTTACCCTACATAGATCTTGGAACATAAGCCAAGTCCCAGAAGCTTTTTGAATAATAAATACGGTGTGTTTCAAGGACTCATAGAAGGGTGTGTGTGCCCAAGGTTTATCTGTTCCTTTACCAAAAGGTGGGGGGCTACAAGTTTAGGTTTGGTCAATGGCCACTGCTCCACCCAGATAGGGTTTTTCATCTAAATCAAAATTGGATCGACAGCCGGGCGCTGGTGGCTCACGCCTGTAATCCTAGCTACTCAGGAGGCTGAGATCTGAGGACCGCGGTTCAAAGCCAGCCCGGGCAGGAGAGACCGTGAGACTCCGATCTCCAATAAACCACCAGAAAACCGGAAGTGGCGCTGTAGCTCAATTGGTAGAGCACTCGCCTTGAGCTGAAGAGCTGAGGGACAGCGCCCATGCCCAGAGTTCAAGCCACACGACCGACAAAAAAAAAAAAAAAAATTGGATCGACAATCCTTTTTTCTAAGGTATCCCTTCCTGCGCCTTGGGCAGGGTATAGGGGGCAGTTTGGCTCCCCCTGGGCAAGTTGGCTGGGGATTGTTATGAACAGTCCCTCTCAAAGTGCCCCTCCTGCCTGCATTTAAAATAAGCCCATCTCCCCAATGGTCTTGGGGTTCCTAGGCCCTGGGCTGCTAGCACATGGGTAATAGCCTCAGTCACTGCAGATGTCTTAGCCTGTAAAGCTAAAACTAGTGATTGGGACTGATTCTGTTGCTTTCCTACATCCTATGAGGCCACCTCCCATCTGCCCAGGAAACTCTCTCTCAATCCCATGCGGTGGTCTGCATTCATCCCTTCCCAGACCAGCAGCTTTACAAACTGACCTTGAAGGTTCCTTGCCGGCAGCTTGCAGACTGCTGTACTCAGCTGACCAAGTTTTTGTCTCACTCCTGCTATGCGGGACTCAGTAGGCCCATCATCCAGTTTGTACCACGCAGCAAGTCAAGCCTGTCTCACCTGGTCATGGTATAGGCCAGGTATTGTGGCATGTTGGACGGCAGTGGAATACCCAAACCATATCTCTGTTAACATGTCATAAGTAATAGGTATCGCTGATTGAGCCTGCCGGTTATTCTCCTCCTGCACTCTGCATTCCTCCTTAAGGAAAGCACACCATTTAATAAACTGAGAACTAGTAAGGATGACTTTGGCCACATCCAGTCAGTCCTTAGGGACACATGGGTGATAAGCAATGTCCTGTAATAGGGTCTGGGCCCAAGGAGAGTTTGGACCATCCTCTGCCACCGCCTTTTGGGGCTCTTTAAGATCCTTAGCTTCCTATGGATACCATTCCAAGGGCCTGTTAGACCCTGGTGCCAGACTGACTAGATACCCTTGGGAAGTGAATCCTGTGGCCTAGGGTTCGGGCTCCCGGGTGGCTCTTCCTTTCCAGGGTAGGCCTCAGAGTAGGTTATTTCGCCAGACTTCGGCCCCTCCATGGAAGGTTGGTAGAGATACTGGTCTTGCAGGTTGCGTAGGATGCTGTACTTCCCCCCCCAATCAGGGGAATAGGGAGGGGACCTATGACCGTCATGGTCACCTGAGTCAGAGGGAGTAACTTTCACCATCGTTTTGACTTCCACTGTGCATGTTTCAGTGCGTTCTCGGTAGAATTTGGCCCATTCCTTTTCCTTCTCACTTCCCAAGTCCTCCTTTACTCCCTCTTGGCATAATGTTGCCTCCTCCTCCTTCTTCTGTGAGATAGCATTACCCATAGTAAGGGTTTCTCTTACCCTGAGAGACTGCATAGCATAGGCTGGTAGTTTTTCCTTTCATGGCCCACGTTGGGTGCCACAAGTAGGGTCTTCATCCATTCCACGAAAGACGGACGGGGTCCGAGGAAAGGTAAGTGAAACCACCCGCCCCATCCCCAGCCTCCCTCAGCCTGGGAGACAATCAGACTCAGCAGGGAGTCAAGTCAAGCAGGAAAATTCATTTATTAACACAGAGCAAGTCCTTTTTAAAGCAAAAAACAGCGAGGGGCATAGCACTGGGGAAGAGGAACCAATGACTCTAAAGGTCATACCCTATCATGCACCTAAGTTTCTACAGGCTGGTTATGCACTGAACATAAGGCAAATTGGGCTTTGCCCACTCAATTCCCTCTCAATGCTATCTTTGCTCCCCATGTTCTCTACAGTTGGGGACTTCAACACATCAGTATCCACACTAGATAGATCAACTTGACAAAAATTCAACAGACAAACTGCAGATCTAAACATCTGCATAGATCAAGTAGATTTTACTTACATCTACTTAATGTTTCACCCAACAGCATCAGAATACACGTTTTTCTCAGCAGCACTTGGAACATTTTACAAAATAGACCACATTTTAGATCGCATAGCAAATGTGTACAAATTCAGAAACATTGAAGTTATTCCTTGCATTCTCTCAGACCACAAGGGAAGAAAATTAGAACTCTACACCAAAAGCCACCAAAGAAAGTCCTATAATACATGGACGCTGAACAACACACTGCTTAATCACGAGTGGGTCATGGAAGAGATTAGAAAGGAAATTCAAATGTTCATGATATTCAACAAAAATGAACACACAAATTGCCAGCTCTTCTGGGACAAAGTAAAGGCAGTATTCAGAGGCAAGTTTATAGCTCTGAGTTCCTACATCAACAAATTGGAGAGACCTGAAACCAACAACTTAATGAGACATCTGAGCCTCCGTGAAAAGAGCAGCAAGATAAACCCCAATTCAGTAGATGGAAAGATATAATTAAAATTAAATCAGAATTAAATGAATTAGAATCCAAAAATCATAGAAAAAAAAATCAACAAAACAAAGAGATCGTTCTTTGAAAAAATTAACAAAATTGAGAGACCCTTAGCAAATTTTATCAGAAAAAGAAGAGAACACACCCAAATAAATAAACTCAGAGATGAGAATGGAAACATCACCACAGAAACAACCAAGATTCAGAACATTATAAGGGAATATTTCTCAAAACTTTATGCCAATCAGTTTGAGAACTTTGCAGAAATGTAGCTTTTCCTAGCAAATATCGACATGAAACTAAACCAAGGTAAGTTAAACCATCTTAACAGGTCCATATCAAGCATTGAAATAGAAACAGCACAAAAAGACCTCCCATCTAAGAAAAGCCCAGGACCAGTTGCTTTTACAGACGAATTCTTCAAGATTTTCAAAGCACAGCTAACACCGATCCTCCTCCAAGTCTTCAATAAAATTGAAAGAGAAAGTCCACCACCTAATTCATTCAATGAAGCCACCTAGACCATGGCGCGCCTCAGTGGGAGCCATTATTCTTAAAAGTGCTAAAAGAATTACAAACAGCAGTAAAAACTATGGGTCCTTCTGCCCCTTTTACTTTAACAATCCTTGATTCCATAGCAACTGATTGGCTAACTCCTTATGATTGGTATCAAACTGCAAAATCAGTGCTAACCCCGGGGCAATACGTATTATGGAGAACAGAATATGAGGACCTTGTTAACGGAGAGGTGCAACGGCGATTATTCACTACTTCAGGCCCTAAGCCTACAGTCTCCATGTTAACTGGTCAGGAGGATTTTGCAGACATTAGAAAACAACTTAAATTCTCAAAGGAGATTTTAAAAACCATCACTAAGCTTGCTGTTATGGCCTGGAAAAAGTTACCATCAGGGGAAGGAAAGACCACTGTTCTATCAGGAATTAAGCAACGGCCTGAGGAGCCATATGAGGAATTCATAGCTAGGTTGGAGGAAGCTATTACAAGAATGTTCCTTCCTTCTGAGGGATCTCAAATCATTCTCAAACAATTGGCATGGGGGAATGCTAATATTGTGTGTCAGGAATTAATCAGGCCAGTAAGAAAAACAGGAAGCCTACAAGACTATGTTAAGGCTTGCATAGATGCTTCTCCTGCTATGATTCAGGGACTTGCATATGCTGCTGCCATGAAAGAAACGCCTTTTCAAACATATGTGAAAAAGGTAACCAGAGGCTCAGGATATAATCCTGAACAGAGAGTATGTCATAATTGTGGCAAACCAGGCCACGTTCAAAAGGAGTGTAAAGCTCAAAAGCAACAGAAGGGATCAGGAAAAGCACCAGGCTTATGTCCTCGGTGTCAAAGAGGGAACCCTTGGAAAAGTGATTGTAAATCTAAGTTCCATAAAGACGGAACTCCTCTTCAAGAGGAAACAAAAAACGGACAGAGGGGCAACCTCTCAGCCCCTCCCCAAGAGAGGAACTAAAGCAAACTATTCATGACTTGCCTAGAGCCACTCCAGGGAGTGCTGGATTGGACTTGGCTGCCGCTCAAGATCATATCATATCCCGAAATAATGGGGTTGTACTGATAAGAGACAAACATAAAAGGGGAATTCCCTTCCGGAGTAATGGGCCTAATCATAAGCCGGAGTTCAAACTATAAAAAGAATTTTGAGGTTTTACCAGGAGTAATAGACTCAGACAGTCCTACCACTATAAAAGTCATGATAAGGTCTCTAAAAGAGACTATTCAAATTCATAAAGGGCAGAGGATAGCCCAAAAACTTTTACTTTCATATCTAAAGTTGCCTAATCCCACCTTGACTCAAAACAGAGAAGGAGGGTTTGGCACCACCGATACTGTAGCCTGGGGTCAGGAAATTACAGATAAAAGGCCTTACAAGGCCATTAAGGTCAATGGAAAACAAATAACAGGACTCTTAGACACAGGGGCTGACAGATCCTGTATAGCTGGAAAAGATTGGCCTACGACCTGGCCAGTGCAGGAGACTTCTTACTCCCTAATTGGATTAGGGATGGCTTCTAATGTAGCTCAGTCAGCTCAGAAACTCAAATGGGTATGTGAAGGGCAGCAAGGCCACTTCAAACCTTATGTTATCCCCAGCTTGCCCTTTTCTTTATGGGGCAGGGACATCATGCAGGACATGAATATACAAATAGGACAAATAGACTCCTCATCAAAGGAGCAAAATTTTTCATAGGGGCCGCTGAGGAACAGCTTTATGCTGACAAAATAATATGGAAAAGTGATGATCCTGTATGGATTAATCAGTGGCCCCTAACTCAAGAAAAGATTCAAGCCATACAGGACTTAGTTCTAGAACAATTGAGTCAAGGAAGGATAGAAGAGAATACCAGTCCATGGAATACTCCAATTTTTGTAATAAAAAAGAAGTCAGGAAAATGGAGGTTATTACAAGATTTAAGGGCAATTAATGAGACCATGCATGACATGGGAGCCCTTCAACCAGGCCTACCCTCTCCTGTTGCAATCCCACAGGGTAGATATATAATAATAATAAACTTACAGGATTGCTTTTTTACAATAAAATTACAACCAGAAGATTCCAAGAGATTTGCCTTCAGTGTCCCTTCGGCTAATTTTAAACAATCTTATGATAGGTACCAATGGAAAGTGCTACCTCAGGGCATGAAAAACAGCCCTACCTTTTGTCAACAATATGTAAAGAGGGCTATAGAACAAATTAGACAAAAATATCCAGAGGCATATATTATTCATTATATGGATGATATACTTATGACCGATGAAACTAGAGAAAAGACAGAGAAAATATTACAGGATATGGTAGAACAATTAACAAAATTCGGGTTAATAATAGCTCCTGATAAAGTTCAACATGAACGACCTTTAAATTATCTAGGAAAAGTGATTCGACATGATTATATTATGTCCCAAAAGACAGAAATTAGAATAGATAAACTAAAAACATTAAATGATTTCCAAAAATTATTAGGGACTATTAATTGGATTTGGCCTAGTTTAAAAATAACTACAGGACAATTAGATCCTTTGATGAAAATGTTGAACGGAGATCCTAATCCTAAATCTACCAGGGAAATAACTCCTGCAGCCCTATCCTGTATAAGATAGGTAGAAGAAGCATTGAATACAGCTAAAATACAGCAAATTAATATTACACAAACATGGTCCTTTATAATTCTGGCTACAAGCTTCACTCCCACAGGATGTTTTTGGCGGGATGGGATACTGGAATGGATCCATTATTCCCATAACCCTGGAAAAATAGTTGCTTCATATCCCTGCTTATGTGCTAATTTGATTCTAAAGGCTAGATTAAGAGCTAGAGAATTATTTGGCCAAGAAATACCTAACATTATTGTCCCCTATAATAAGAAACATTAGATCATGTGATACAATTTGATGATGATTGGAAAATTGCTGTATTAACTTATACAGGTAAAATAAGCTTTCATATGCCCCAACATCCTTTGTTACATTTTATACTGAAACTCCTGTGATATTTCCAAAGGTTGTGGTTACAGAACCTTTGGCGGGGCATTAACTATTTTTACAGATGGATCTTCTAGTGGAAAGTCTGTGGTTTATTGCAGCACAAGACCACCATTAATATCTTATGACCCAAGTGTATCTGCACAACAGGCAGAACTCATTGCAGTTCTGCTAGCATTTCAAAATTATTCAGAGGAGTTTAACCTTTACACAGATGTGTGTGGTTTCCTTGTTTCCTGCCATTGAAACAGCCCTAGTTACTGGTCAATCTAAAGTTAAAGAATACTTAGTAAAATTACAACAGCTATTACAACAAAGAACGACAAAGGTATTTGTGGGACACATCAGGGGGCATACCAATCTCCCTGGACCTTTGTCTCAAGGGAATAAGTTTGCAGACTTATTAACTAAGGAAAGTCATGTAATGTCAGCTTTAGAAGAAGCTCAGGAAAGTCATAGACTACATCATCAAAATGCTAATGCCTTAAGAAAGATGTTTCAAGTGTCCCGAGAACAGGCAAGACAAATTATCAGGGAATGTGAGGCATGCCCAGAAGTTTTTCATCCACAAAAAATGGGAGTTAATCCTGAGGCTTAAAGCCTAGAGTGTTGTGGCAAATGGATGTTACCCATGTAACAGAATTTGGGAAAATCTCCTTTGTCCATGTTACTATAGATACTTATTCTCATGCCATGGTTGCTACAGCCCATTCTGGACAGGCTGTGAAAGATGTTATTCAACATTTGATTAATGCCTTTGTGGACCTAGGAATTCCCAAGGAAATAAAAACAGACAATGGACCAGCATACACCTCCAAAGCTTTTGCTAAATTTTGTGCACAATGGAAAATCGTGCACAAAACAGGGAATCCGTATAATCCACAAGGCCAAGCAATAATAGAACGGGCTCATCAGACCTTAGAAAACCAATTGACAAGAATTAGACGGGGAGGAGGGAAGCAATACTCCCCCCATTACACTCTTAATCATGCTTTGCTGGTCCTTAATCATTTCAATGCTGATGAGCAAGGAATAACCGCGATGATGAGACATTGGGGCATGGAAAAAACTACAACTTTCCTTTAGTAAAATGGAAGGATCTACTCACTGGAACCTGGCGTGGGCCAGACATCCTGTTAACATCTGGGAGAGGCTATGCTTGTGTTTTCCCACAGGATGCAGAATCCCCCATTTGGGTCCCAGACAGACTCATCAGGCCTTTCTTGGTCCCAAAAAAGAGCCAGGAAGAAAGTGAAAATACATCGGGAGAGAAAACTGGTGCAGAAGATGAAGACATTCTCTCTATCACCACCGCAGGGTGATTCTACAAAAATCACTGCACCACCTACGTGGGAACAGATCAAGAAGTTGTGCGAGGAAGCTCGACACACTGTTGAGATCACCGGAAATCAACCCAATCCGGAAAACATGTTTTTAGCCATGCTTGCCCTTGTTTCTTTACAGGTGAAGTACGCTTTTTGTACAATGTATTGGGCGTATTTTCCTGATCCACCTTTGCTTCACCCCGTGGGTTGGACTCACCCATCTAACATAAAAGTACTAATGAATGATACCTCTATACTAGGGGGCATTCCAGTGGGGTCAGAAAAGCCTATGATCTCCACGTATCTAGATTATGAGGGAAGATCTGATGTCACCCCTATATGCTTGGCTTTAAAAGGCCGTGCTCCCTTTGCATGCTTGCCTGTTCAATACAGGACCCTTTATGCTGATGCACCTGATAAGACTAACACTGCTTCTAGCAGTAAGAGGGTGATGTGGGAATTGAGTTTTCAAATACTTGGGTATTTTAATTACAATGAGACCTTTGACAAAGATAACAATGTTAGCATGCCTTTTCCAAATTGTTTAACAGCTTACCGGGATAAAGATCAATTTTGGGACAGCAAAACAGAAAAAGAACTTCCAACATGGTTGGATTGTGGATTTCCACATTCTGCCTCTGTACATTGGCCTAGGGGTACTACAGATTTGGTATTTGATTTTTCCATTGCCAACCCAACTTATGACTATAAGAAATATTTAAAAGAAAATGAGAAAGTAAAATTCACAAGCTATAAAGCTCCGGTTGGCCCGGAACCGGTAAGGCGTTGGTTCACGCCTGGGTTTGTCACCCCAATGTGGGTTGCTAAATCTAGTCCTTATGGAACCACCGTTACCCATAAAAATTTGTTTAGATTTGCTGCAGCTGCAAATATGATATTGCTAAAAAAGCCCAAAGCTAACCTACCAGAATCCATTGCATTAAGAGCTTGTTTGTCTTATCCATATGCAGCTTTAATTGGAAGTGATAAAAGAATTAATATTACACAAGTAGGGAATTCCTTTTTAATTCAATGTTACTCTTGTCGGTTGACCAACTGTGTTGATGCTTCCATAGATAAAGAATTTTCAGTAGCAATTATTGTAAAAAGACCTGAATATGTAATGCTTCCTGTAAATTTGCATAATGATCCTTGGTTTGATAATTCTGCTTTGCAAACACTTCGTGTTTTGTATGAATTAATACGACCAAAAAGATTTGTTGCAACATTGATCTTTGGAATTGCTTCCCTTATAGCATTAGTAACCTCGCTTGCTGTATCCACCACTGCACTAATACAACAAGTGCACACGGTGCATTTTGTTAATGAGTTAAATAAGAATGTTTCTCTAGCATTAACAGAGCATCAAATCATTGATCAAAAGTTAGACAGCAAACTAGAGGCTTTGGAGGAAGTAGTCTTAAAGTTAGGGACTGAAGTTAATAATCTTAAAATCCAGCTGACCACTAGATGTCATCAGTCATTTAAATGTATTTGTGTTACCCCATTGCCTTATAATGACAGCTTAGATTGGGAAGCTATCAAAGTGCATCTACAAGGAATCTGGAAGGACAATAGCTTAACTCATGATATAGGACAGCTACAGGAAGACATTTCAGCCCTTAGTCAAGCTCATTTGGAAACCGCAGGGATAAATTCTTTGGCAGAAGACTTACAGAAAGGATTAAAAAGTCTTAATCCTTTAGATTGGTGGTACTACTTGGTTACATTTGGAGTCATAACACTAATTGTTATATGTATTCTTGTTGTCTTTCCAGTCCTCTTCAAACTAGTCTTCCGCTCCATCTCCTCTATACGAGAAGAAATTTCTCTGGCACATCTAAAAAATAAAAAAGGGGCAAATGCCACGCCTACTCCAGTGGAGTCTGCTTAGCATGGGAAACCATCTTTCAGACCTGAGAAAGGGGCTTTAGAGACCTATCTCTGAGTATTGGGACTTCACCAAAGTCTACCTCAGAGAATGGGGCTTTACAGAGACCTATCTCCGAGTTTTGGGACTTCACCGAAGTCTACCTCGGAGAATAGGGCTTCTAAGAGGCCTACTCCTGGAAAGGCTGGCAAACCCCTGGGAAAGATGTGTTTCTGCCTTTCTTTTCCTCATAAGAGTGCCTATTAATCTTTTACTGCTTCTACTGCTCTTTGTACTTACTCATTGTCAATGTTCCTTTATTCAAAGCTCTTAAGAGTGTTGACGACTCCAATATCTGATGAGTATCTTAAAAAATATGACTAACTCACCAGAGTTAAGTGCTACCCTGAAACCCCTCTTATGGAGGCTAGTAGACAAGTTATAAGTAAATATAAAAGTATTGGGGGTTTCACGAAGTCACTTCAGCAGAAGGAATTGTTTGTAAGGGACTTACAAGAAGCTGTAGGCTCAGCTAGAGCAGAAAGAATGTATGGCAATTGCTGAGATAACTATTTAGGAGAAAGAATTTCCTGCTACTCTCTTTTATTTACTAAGAGACTTGCTAGATCTAGGTCTCCTTGAGGTTTACTATTAAAGAAGAAACAGGAAAGATCTTATGGGAAAGTTAAGGCCTCTATAAAGATAGGTAATGGTTAATTGGTGACAAACATTGTAATCATTGTATTTATTAGAGATAAGCCGGAAACAAGTGCCTATCAGGTGACCAGCTGGTGACCACCCAAAAATGAAGCCATGCAGCAGGATTGTGTAACCTTTTGCCCTTTCTCATGAAGACTTTTGCTATAAAAGTTTGTTATCCTCTGCATTAAATCACACTCAGCATCCACTCCTCTTGTGTGTGAGTTGTCTGTTTGCCATCTCCCCATCCTATTCTAGGTTCCTCCCCTAGGTGTCCTCCATCGTCCCGACAGAGCCCGGTCTGCGGCACCATGTCTTGATTTTGAATGGTTAATTGGAGATCAAAGTTTCAGTGTTGTACATGTTCATTCTTTGTCCCTCCTTTTCCATGACCCCTTTAACTTCTGAAAGAGAGATAAATGTGAAAAAAGGACAAAAATGAAATCAAATAAATATCATCTTGTTTCTGTTTCCTGGTAACTGATTATTTTTGAGATAGTGCTTCTTACTAATAAGAATTATTGGTAGAATCTGAAAACATATTTGAGTAATAAATAGACGAGGAAAAATGTTGTCTCCTATTTTTTATCACTACATTTCTTTTTGTCTAAGTATAAATGCCATACTTACACTAAGTGCCTAGAATAAGCAAAATGACTTATAGAGCTCAGATCATATCTTTCCACAGAAGATGACAGCCCCAGAAGACAGGGCAACAACTTGCACAAGAAAGAGAGAGTTTGATGTCTCCTTAAATCTTAGGATCAAATGCTCATGAGGAGCCCTCAGGACTGATGACAGCTTAAGGACCTAACATTTCCTGTGTCATTCCATCCAAGGAAACAGTCACCAGTCTCCCATTACACTGTAGGTGCCACGCCTGACTGTTGACCTTGGCTGTGTCATGAGAACGTGCAGCAGGGCTCTGTCATGGTCACTGGAGAGTCAGGATTGCACACTAAGAGGACATTCATGAAGGTGGTAACAAGGCCTGAGTCAGGGTTTTGTCAGATCTAGATGATTTGTAACAGGCACTACTGTCTTCTGGCTAAGAATGTGGATATATCATCGGGGTCTTGCACACAAATTTATCAAGTGTTAGCTTGCAACATTTCCGTATGAAAGCCAACAAAATGTCATCAATGCCCTCTGAACATATTCTCATCAATATTTAGTAAGTAAAAAGCTATAAAATCAAGTTCATCATGAGGAAAATACCGATATGAAAACCAAATTGCAGGAGCATTTACAAAAAATGTTTTTCTGTATGTATCAAATGTGACAAAATATTAAAAGTTAATGAAGCTGGGAAAGTTAAATTGATTTCCTTTTTTATTATGGTTGCAACTATCTTTTACATTTCAACTACATAACAAAAAGAAGGTAGGCCAATCACCACCGGTGGCTCACACCTGTAACTCTAGCTATTTAGAAATCTGAGATCTGAGGAAAGTGAATTGAAGTTAGACTAGTTAGGAAAAACCAGTGAAACTTTGATATCTGATTAACCATTTAAAATCAAGACATGGAAGTTTGGTGCAAGTAGTAGACTCTTACCCTTGATTACAAAAGCTAAAGGTCAGCTCCCTGAATTCAAGCTCCAGTATTCACACACACACACACACACACCACACACACACACACACACACACACACACACACACACACACTCTCTCTCTCTCTCTCTCTCTCTCTCTCTCAAAAATAACCAGTGACCAGGAAAAAGAAACAAGATATTTATTTTCTTTCATTTTTGTCATTTTTTTTACATTTATCTCTCTTTCAGAAGTTAAAGGGGTGATAGAAAAGGAGGGACAAGGAATGAATATGTGTAACACTGGTATTCAATTGGTACTATGTTGAAAATGACCTATGTAATTTGTTTTTTTGGAAGGACGGGAAAACGGAAAAAGATAAAGTGAAAGATTAACATTGTCCAAAACAAATGCATTCAGTGAATTAGAGCTATGGCTCAATTTGAGTGCCATTATTCAGCAAAAGAACTCAGAGAGAGACTCCAGGCCCTGGATTCAAGCTACATTACGGACTAAAACAAAAAAATAATCATTACCACAAGATTGTAACTAAACCCTTTACAGCATAATAATAATAATACTAATAATAATGATAATGATAATAATGATAATAGAAGAAGATGATGAAGAAGAAGGAAGTTAAAAAAACCAAACTAGTGAGAAAAATTGATAGAGCAAGGGAAGGACTGACCTTTCAAAAAGAAATATATCCATACCTGACTTATATGACTGCAACCTCTGTGTAATTCACATTTATAATAATAATACAAAAGAAAAAACAGAAATTTAGTGCTGGAGTCATAACTCAAATGGGAGGTCATACTAATATGTATGTGATACCAAGGTCAAACCCCTTATAAATTTCTCCTTCAAAAATGGCTCTTCTCATCACTTGTGCTTTCCAGAGCTTATGAAAGGGGGTGCAGCTAAAGAAAGAGAAAGATAATCTGTCAGGCACAGAACTGTACTTGCAAAGAGCAGTACTCAATAGAACACGTGTTTACTAGACCACATGATGACTCCATGTTTTCTGAAATAAACAGAACTAGTTGGGCTTGAATACATTCTCCACTGTATACTAGATGGGGACTCAAAATTAATGAAACTCTCTGGATCTCAAATTCTTTACAGGTAAAGTGAGCATAACAATACATATCTTATGGGATTATGAGACCTGGTTGTCATCAAACATGGAGTGGATTTTATCTTAGGTGTGTGTGCAACACTCGAACACTGCTGGAAGGAGTATAAACTGGCATGATGTTTACTATGTTACTTAACAGTAATACAACATGCCTGTAATCATACTTACAAAAGAGGATGAGAAAAGAGGATCAAGGTTTTAAGTCTGGACAGGAAACTGGATCAGACTCATCTCTAATGATCTCTAAAAAAGCTTGAGGTGGTGTTTGGTTCAAGTGGTAGAGTGCTAGACTGGAGCATAAGCCTCAGAAACATTGCCCAGGCCCTGAGTTCAAGCCCTAGGACCAGCACAAGCACACACACACACACACACACACTAAATTTTGTGTGTTCCTACCCCCCGATTAACAATATATTCCCTCTTCCAAGCTCACCTGATTTTTTTGTTTTAAAAGGGACTTCCTGTGTAGCACAGGCTGCTCCTAAACTTACAATCCTCCTGGGTACTGGGAGTACAGGCATGCCTACTATAATTGGCTTCACTCAGCAACTCTATTTATAACATATTTGCAAGAAATTCATTCATACTCATGAAGATATTTGGCTTAAAGCTGCTCACAGTAATATTATACTGCACAAAATGTAAATAATATAACTGGGCATGGTACTATCTTACCATATGGTAATACCAGCCAATAATTAGGAACCTGACACAGGAGAATAAGCAGATGAGGAAAGCCTGGTCTACACTGCAAAACCTGGTCTCCAAAGGAAAGAAATTCTATAAATATTAATCTACGATGAAACATACAATATGTTAAATTTATATAATGTAACAAATAGACCATTGTTAATAGAAATAAAATCGTGGCAGAAATTTTAAATACATACATATGCATATATATTTAAACTTAGAGAAATAAAATTTCAAGTGCTTCAATCTGCATCTTTCAGTCTTCCTGTCACCTACTTATTTACTGACACATTGATTTCTATTTAGTCTTCACAAAACACTGTTCTCACACATTACACAAAATTGTAAATCAAAAAGTACAAAACAAACATTATCATAAATACAAATATAGTTAAATCCCTACCATAATAATTTGGAGAAAACATACATTAAGTTAATGGCATTGTATACTGCTCAGGAGGGGGAGTCAAGAAAACGTAGATTGTGTGTGTGTGTGTGTGTCTGTGTGTGTGTGTGTGTGTGTGTGTCTGTGTCTGTGTCTGTGTCTGAGTCTGTGTGTTTTCCATGAGTAAATAATGGAGATAGAATTAGACCTATTATTCTTGCTTGGTCTTTTTGCTCAAAGGTGACACTATACAACGTGAGCCACATCTCTGCTTCTGGATTTTGGTTTCTTTTTTTTTTTTTACATTACTTTTTTATTGTGAACATACAGTACAGAGGGGTTACAATTAAATGGGCAAGATAATAAGCACATTTCTTATCAAGCATT